CAGCCATTAAAATGCTGCTTCTCACATCATGTATGAAAAATTAGGAATGAATAAATACTTGGTCCGTAGCAGATCAACCACATCTGAGACAGTTCTATGGCAAAAGTAATCAACTGTACATAAAGGAGCTGCAGCTGCCATCTGGAAATTATTAATCTTTATGCAAAAAAAACAAATGGGAAAGTACATATCCGGTGTCCCCATGTGCCGTACCGACTCACTGCCACATCCTGGGATCACAACTGTCCCCATCTGATTTTCCACATCATCCCTCTTGCCCTGACATTTCCATTTCCTGCCCCCACTTTTTTTTTTTTCTATTTTTGACTGTAGAACAAAAAGCAAAAGTGGCACAGGAAAAAAAACAACTTATCTACAAAACACTGATTTGTTTTTGCTTTGTGTGAATGCCAGAAAGAAGAAAAAAAAAAACTATCTTCAAGATGAAAAGGAGAGAAAAAAAAATACAATTCTCAACAGTAAAGTCTATTCTTGGACCTGGCAGGCAGCGAATGGAAATGCTGGGCTTTTATTTCTTTCTCCGGAGTGCCAGTTATTTAAAGCTCAGCAACAAAACAGCAGCATCGACGTTCGGCAGGTTCAACCCGACTGGCTCTCGCCGGGCCACATGGGAGCCACAGTCATGATAGCTTCTCATCTTGGGTCAAATCATCAGGATTCGTCAAAGAGATTCCGATAACGTGAGGCATAAAAAAAATACTGATATATTCCTATGGAACTCATGTAAATGGTATCATGGGAATAAGTCAGCTGAATTTGAAAAAAAAAGCTCATGTAACCACAGCTATTGAGGGAAAATTACAGTCTGGGAAAATTAGCTGTGTTCAGTACCCAGCTCCTATTAATCACCAGCATGTCTGAGCCCTTACCCCCTGGCTGTGAAACGGATGTTTGGGTCAAAATATTCCATAAACTGCAGCTGCTTACTGCGGCTTCTCAGAGCCGCTTACCGCCATTGTTTCAGAACGAGCTTTAGCATGGGACGGGGCTGGCGTTTTCCCCCCCACTACTGTTGTGAGTAGTTAGGAGCTTAGGTAAGAAGTGCTTTCTGTTTTGGTTTTTATTTCTGTTAGGTAAGCACAGGTTTCAGTGGGTCGCCCTCACAGGCCCGTTGGTGGCTTCTGCATCACGTCAGTTGCTGGATGTAACAACAACGGCTGCGTTAGTGGGGAAACGAGCACCTGGTGGCGGGAACCAATCAGCGATCAGGAAGCACCTGGGCAATCATTCCAACTGACCAATAGAAGCAGCTCACCTGCAGCATCAGAAAGAGAGGAACAGATCCACAACAAGGCAGCACATACACAAACCTTTTATGTCATATCGTGTACGTGGGTTGTTAGAATCAAACGTAAGATCAAGAAAAGATAAAGAGGCCTGAGTTGATTTTACTATAAAACCGATCATGTGACTTTCATTGTTCATGGTAGCAGGTGGGTTGTACCATCACAGATCAACAGGGGCCTTCTGATGAACCAGTTCTGATTTGGCTGACTTAATAGGGCTATAAAACTTTTTTTTTATCATAATTTTTTTGATCCCATAATCAGAAATGCCAGTGAATACTTCACACTCTTAACTTTTTAAATATCCACATTTTCTGCTATAGAAACTTTCGGCAAATCAGAGCTTCTTGAGCAGAAATTGTTTTTAAAAAAAAACTGATGAGGACTGCCAGGTGGTGCAGTTGGTTACTGTTGCCTCGCACCAAGAAGGTCGCCGGTTCGCGTCCCAGTGGGGGCACTGTGGAGTCTCCATGTTCTCCCCGTGCAGCGTGGGTTCTCTCCGGGTTCTCCGGCTTCCTCCCACAGTCCAGAAACATGTTGAGGTTAATTGGTGATTGTAAATTGTCCGTAGGTGTGAATGTGAGTGTGCTTGGTTGTCTGTCTCTAAGTGTAGCCCTGTGATAGACTGGTTACCTGTCCAGGTGAACCTGCCTTCACCCTGAGTCAGCTGGGATAGACTCCAGCTCCCCATGACCCTAGTGAGGATAAAGCGGTGTATAGCTAATGGATGGATGGAAAACTGATGCTCTGAGGTGGAATGGACCCAGGTATGGATGTATCAGCTGATTTCCAAACTCACATCCAGTCTGCAGGTTACAGCAGGACTCTTAAAAAATGAAATGCTTTATTATTTATAGTCCACACAGAGAAATGTTAGATGGAAACTATACAGGACAAAATTAAGCTTTTACACTAATGCAATATTGTTTCAGAGACATGTTTAATACTTCATGACCCTCTGGCTGTGTGGACTTTTCGCCCAATGCAGCAGATATCTGTCGTGTGAAGAGGTGATCGTTGTAATATTCAGTCTTTACTTTGACATGTAGACGTCTACAGTAACACGGAACAAAAAGCATTCATCAGTCACTTGTTGTTTGTAACTGATTGCTTCTTGCATGCATAAGGTCACATCCTGTATGCAACACATAGCGACGATTAATATGTGTCTAAACTCTACTGGATCAATGCAGCCTAAATAACCTTAAAATGAAATTTGGTTTTAATTATTTCGGACCTGCACTTCATCACATCAGCTCTTCCAGAGTGCCTGCTAGCCTGGAATCGCTTCCAGGACCCTCAAGGCTCTGCTTTAGAATAACATACGGCATTAGAGAAGCATCTTAATCACAGCCAGATTACAGCTGTTATGTTATTGAATTTGTAATGAAGGACTTTTTTTCAACCCAGCTTCATTACTTTCACATATTTCAGGCGCACTGGCAGCAGCGAGTGCGCAGGAATGCAGCCCCCTGCGCCGGCTCGAATACCTTAAATCTTGTATTACAGGCTTTGAGGGATTAGAGTTTATTATGTTGTCGGGGGGGATTAAGGTACATAACTCCAACGAGTTGGGAAATTGAACTTGAAAGGAATGATGTGTGCATGTGTGTGTTAAAAAAAAAAAACACATCCAGACACATGAAACTCACGACTCCGTTCTCTGAAGACAAATTTTTTATTAAGAAATAAAAAAAGTTTTACATCTTTGTAAAACCTGTTCAAACACATATTTTTTTTATTTTATTTTATTTTTTTGTCGTTTTTTTTTTTCAGTTTTTTTTCTTCTTCTTCTTCTTCGTCTAGCTTACAGGTTGGCCATAGAAATAAAAAATAAAAACCTTTCAAATTCTTTTTTTCCTTTTTTTTTAAAAATGTTTTTTTCTTCACCGAGAATTAAAAAACATTTTCCCCATGTACATTCTCAAAAAAAGGAAGGGCTGGTATACGGTGTAATGCAGGAAAGACAGAGGCGTTGTCATTGGAGACCATGATCAGAGGTGGGGGGGAGGAGGATGAGCGGGACTCCATTTCCCAGAAGCCTTTGCACAGAGATTCAATTTGATGCTGTCGAATTTAGAGCTAAAAATACCAAAACAACGTTGATATTTTCTGGTTTTTTTTGGTATCGAATTCAAAGACGGAGGTCGACTTTGCATCGAGGAAATAGAGCCCAGCTGGAGAGGGTGACTTTAGCGATAAAAACAGATGTTGCGTCACCTCTGCGTAGCATCTGTCGGAGCTAACGCTGCATCTACAGCACAGACACAAGACAATTCAGATTCGGAATCCTGCAGATATGTTCAGAAACACGAGACGTAGGCGATGTAAAAATTTGAATCTGTTCCCTGTGCAGATGTCGTTTGGTTTCTCTTTGATAAAGCACTAAAGGTCGCAGGGGTTTGGCAGAGCGATCCGGACAGAACATGTCTGAAGAAGCAGAATGTAGAATTTGCATATGAGGTCTTTAAAAGGAAAGCCCACGTTTGATATGGTGCGATCTGGTTATTCATGGATGTACCGCTTTGTTGCTGCTGAGGGGCAGCTTTCCCCAAAAGCACCCAAAAAAATCACGCTGAGATGTTTGTTCCATTATGAGCCAATTGGACGTAGAAGGTACCGGTTAGACGTTGCAGATATTATTGTAGATTGGTGACCTTTGGTGGTTGGTGGTGGTTCTGGAGAGCTGCCTGGTTTGTCTTTTAGCAACGCAGCAGTACTGAGATAGGCAGACAGGAGGAACGGTGGGCTTTAGTGGCAGTGTTACTGTGTTTTCTACCCCTCACAAAGTCACAACTTAGGTCCGTCACAAAAAAAATAAAAAATAAAAAAAAACAGCATCTCGTTAGGAAATTCAGTTTGATGTGACGACGATCGATAATCATTTAATTCTCAGTGCATTTCAAAACCACAAGATCTCTGATGGAATAGTGGTTCGGTTTGGTTTCGGTGCCACACGTGGCGGCGGGTTTTAATTTCAACTGGACCCTGAAGATTCTAATTTGAATTCCTCAACAATTCACACGTTGCTGTCTCAGAGGTTCGTTACTACCGCTTGGAAAAACAGAATGAAAAATAAACGTATTCTACAAAGTATTGCACGTAACAAATCATAGCTGTTTGGTTTTTTTTTTCCTTTTTTTCTTGATTGATAGTTGTACATGTTACTCCAATGACAGAGGTTTCAAATACACTATATTTGGAATACAAAAGGCAAATGTGACAGACACACAATCGAAAAAAAAATAAAACAAAGAAACTGTTGAATTCAACAAAGATCAGTAAAAATAAAAAGAAACTAAATTCTTTTCTCTCTCTCTTGCGCGCTCCTTTTGTTGTTGTTGTTTTTTTTTAAAACGCTAAAAAATAAATCTTCAGAAACTTTCACCCGAAGGCGACTTTCACATTTCAACATTCGGCGGTAAAAACTTGTGCATCGCTAATGCTTCAATTCTCTTGCAAATTCTTTTATCTCTGAGAAAAAAAAGAAATCAACAAAATCGGTTAGCTCAGGTCAACGGATGGTTTACGAAGGCTAACTGACGGGGAGTGTAAGAAGGCAGAGGGGCTGGTACATACTGTAAATACACACAGAGAGGCAGAATAAACCCATAAATGACTGCATTAGTTATTATTTCTGGTCCGTATTTCCTTATGAAAAGAAGGATCTTAGCACTAGGGGAGATTTTTTACACTTTCCAATAGAGAGTTCATTTTCAGCTTTGCTACTGGCAGCTGTTTCTTGGAATTGTGCACAATTTTAAACAAATGAAAGTGCCACAAATCATGTTTGCATACTGTTTTTAAAACGTCCGGTTGTTCTGACCGCTTTTTGTCGACAGTTTTTCTTTTCTCCTCGGTGCAAAGATCCTTCAGAGGAACCAAGAGCCAGATCTGTACAAAAGTTTACGATTAAAATGAAGCTTTGTATCTGTATTAAAATGGGAGCTTAGCTGTACAAAGACGACTTATATAGGAAAAAGTTGTATGAAAATAGATGTCTGCTGCGGATTTGGTTTCGCAAATCCCTTTTAATGATATCGACTACTTTATTCTATTTGAAGAAATAAAATAAAATTTAAAAACAAAACTGACAAATAAATGATCAGAGCTTAAATGAACCATGAAATGAGGCCCTGGTCTCGCTGTTGCTTCTGATGCTGAGTTGTTGGTCGGATTCCTGCAATGTGTGTGTGTTTACTGTATAACTGTATGCATTTCAATGTGTCTGCTTCTGGGAGAGCAAAAGCAGAGTGTGTCGACAGTATCCCGATATATTTGTTTGTTGCTGTTACAGGAGAGGCCACTGAGAACCCTGAATAAAAAGATGGCAGTATTTGTTTTTGGCCTCATCATTTGATATGAAATCCAAATTATACAAATAAGGTGCATTAAAGACTCACTTCCACTCACTCTCTCTGGATTTTTGCCTTTGATTGTGGATAAAATAGGCAGTTGAGGTGTGATTTTTTATTTTTTTTTTCCGTTCCACGCGGCAAAGAGCTGCCCTCACGGCCTTTCAAGCTGGATGAAAGCATCGGTTTTGATTATTACCGCCGCGGCTCTTTGTCACCCACAGTTAAAAAGTCTAATTTTTTTGGGACGCTGGGTTAATGCAGCTATACAGTAGACAAAAGCACTACAGAGAAAGGTCCTGAGTGGATGGTCGCTGGTGACACATACACGTGGGAAACCCCTTGTTAACACAGACATATTGAAATGAGGATAGCGGCGGTGACTGTCGTAGCTCTCGGTTGGTAACGGTTCCCATCATCAGTATTATGGCCCCTCGTTATTGTGATGGATGTAGAATCTGCCGTCACGACTGTTAAAAAAAATCAGCCAGCGTCGAGGATACAGCTCGTGTATCGCGGGGCGAGTTTGGGATGTTGCTCGTTTCAACTTCTCAACAAAGGAGATTTAATTGTCTGCTGCAAGAAACGTCCAATCGGAAAAAAACAAGAATATATATTCATCTAAGAGAAAAGGACAGTTGGCTGTAGTATTAAATTGCAACTGTTCCCTCTTCTTTTTTTTTGTTGTTGCAGCATTTTAAGATCCCACAAAGTCTGGCATTTTATTTGCTCTCTAATCCCAAACGAGGACGGGCGATTCTGCCCGACTCGCAAAACTTGCACTTTCATGCATTTTTTTTTTTTTGGACCATTTAATTGCTTTTTTTGAACGGTTTGCGCTTGAAACGAAGCCCCTTATCGCTCATTTTAATTGAGGTGAAGCAACATGGTGACTCTGGAAAAGACCAAACTCTGTCAGTCACTGACTAAATCTGTCTGCAGCCAGCTGCCACGTTTCACAGTGTCTGGGAGGGAGCTCTGACACTCAGACGAGTCGACACCGGCTGGTTTGTTGGCAGTGTTGCCCAACCAGGGCTTGCTTTGAGTCGCTGACTTGGTGACATGGTGTTGAACCGCTGGCTGCAGAGCCCCGTCTGGCTGAGTTTATCCAAATTAAATACTGTCCACTGGTATTTACAGAAGAGGAAAAGCTATAAACCCCCAACACCTACAAATGTACAGATGGAGCCATTGTAGAATCCCCATTGGTTTTTTCCCGACTGTGCAGTAAACTGCTGTTTGAAGCCCCTATAACCCTCCACCAAGAGAAAATATTTGGGAATAAAATCAATTGTATGTTCTATGTGATGCTAAAGGCAGAATTGTCAGGACCAAGGCAGAAGAAAAGTAGAATGAGGACTATACTACAATGGCTGCCATTGTAAATGTATGATTTGTATAATAGCTTAGTATTTTCACCAGATGAAAGAAGTGTTCCTTCTTCTATGTAAAACTACAGCAATTCAATAGTGAATACCAATAACATTAATAAAAAAAAAACAAAAGATCTAAACATTGACAGAGGAAAAAAAAAAAACTAATAATAATAATAATGTATCTTCCTCTGTAGCAAATAAAACAAATCCAATCCAAAAAATTTTTAAGCCAAGAGTGCCTAGTGCAGTCACTAATGTACTGTAAACTGGTCTAGGACAGAGAGAGATAGATAAAGAGATAGATATAGATAGACTGATTAGCTACTACTGTACAGTACGCCACAGACAACACACTCAAGGGTTCAACCTCCACACTTCAAATCCTTTCAGATACGTCTCTCTTTGTGCAGGAGCAGGTTTCCCCGTCGCCGTCTCAGTGCTCGTGTTCTCTCTATGGAAGATGGGAATATTTGTGCTAAGGTGCATTTAAAAAAACCAGGATTCTGGTTCGATAAGGGTCAGCAGCAGCTACCGCGGCTGCGTTAACGATACATTTTTCTGATTATTTCTAAAGAAAAAAAAAAAGATAAAAAATTTAGCAGCACGGGGAATTTTGTGCATTCGTGACCTACAGGGTGAATTTTCAGTTTGCTCATTATTGCCAATGTGGCAGGTCCATGATTACAGCTGGAGGGGGAAAAAACGAGGCGATCGAGGGAATGGATTCGACTCCGGTGGCTGCAGCTTTGCAATTTTTGTTTTGAGATTTGATTTGTCACGTTTTCTTCCCACCGGAGTTTGATTTGGATTGATCTGAATCAATGTTTGGTTAGTTGCATTTCACAATAAAAGTCTTGCCTGGTGCAGCTGATTTCAGAAATCCTGATGACTAAAATGGGGGGAATGCCTCAAAAAACCTGTCGATCTCAACAGGGCCTCGACTGAACACAGCGGAATAGAATAAGCTGAACCCTATGGCACGCGCCCTCGGATTAGTGTATCACAGGCAAAAAAAAACATTCCCAAAACATCTGTTTGTGGGGCTCCATGATCAAACTTTTTCTTCTATCTTTTGTGGCTACAAAACGCTGTTTGATTCCAAGACTCAATAACCGCTTTCTTCCTGCTTTTTTTAAGAACAATGGCTGGTTATCTGCAGAATCAGCTGGTGGAACAAACAGAAATCAACCAGCGTGTGACCAGAGGCTGGTGCTAATTTGCCACATTGCCTTCAAACGAGACAACGGCGGAGCATGTAGTCACATGAAATCGACTTATAGGAAAAAAAAAAAAAACACTAAGAAAAAAAAAACAAAAACACAGCTTGTGAGTAATTCAGAAATAGATTTGAAATGTGATGGCTACCCTCTTAAGAAAACCACCAACAGCAAACTACTTCCCAAGTATTCCTAAAAGATTTGAAAAGTGAAACTTCTTTTTTTTTTCTTCTTTTCCTTAAAACCCTTATCAGTCCACCAGACAGACATAGACAGACAGACAGAAAGCTAGCTAGCTTTAGAAGCATTTCAGAGGACAGGAGAGGAGAAGAGAGCGATCTCATGGAGAGCCTCCGCCTCATTCCTTTACATCATGGTTTCTACGATGGTGTGGGTGGGAGCCTTCATCAGCAGGCCCTTGTTCCCGTTGGGGTCCAGCGGGTAGGTGAGCTCCTTGGGGCCACGGTGGTCTGCGGGCCGGGAGCTGGCCCCGCCGCGAACCGGGGCGGCCACCGCCTTAATCCTCTGCAGGGAGGGAGGGAGGAGGAAGAGGAGGAGCGATGGAGGTGGAGTGAGCAATAATGCAGAGAGAGAAGAGAACAGGGAAAAGAGGGGAGATGGGACAGAACACAAAAACAGGAGATTAAACAGGGTTAGAATGAGGCGAAAGCTTAAAAACTGGATTAAAAACCAATTACATACAAGCCAACCTACAAAACCAGAATCTGAAGAAGTGATTTAAGAGATAATTTGTTTTTTGAGAGGGTTTTTTTTAACCTAGTCAGGCCAGTCGATACTCCATTACTGATCTGACCGATCCTTAAAACATGCAGTGCAAAAAAACAACAAAAAAAAAAATAATAGAAAGTAACAATCACATTAATATATCCTCAAAAATACATTTTCCTTTATTAAAAGTCCTTTTCTACCATTTCTAGCCAGAGATCTTGCAGGTTTTTAAGTTTTTAGTGTTTAATGAAGGATAGTTAAATGTGCAAAAACACTGAAATTACCAATAACACATGTGGTAAAATATATATATGCATATAATTAAATTAATAGAAATAACAGTTACTGATACAATGTACAAAAAACTGTATTTTTGGTTGTGAAAACTTTACTGTCACTAATTGTTCTTATTTTTGGAAGTATGTTTACAGTATTTAACTTGATTTGAACAGTTTCTTATATTAAATAAAAAGGAAATATTTGCACAAGTGAAACATACATTTTATAATTATCCACATGTGTTTATTTACCATCTGTTTTTGCACTTGTGTAAATATTTTCCAGGAAAAATCCTGTGAAGCTGCAGATTTTTTTCCTTTCTTTTATTAAATTTAAATGTTTTTTTTTTTTTAATGCGACAGCTCCAGAGCGAACAGCCAGATGGCGGATCCACCCACCTCAATGAGCGGCCCGTCGGATCGGATGATCTTGATGACCACCACCATGGGAATGCAGATCATGGAGGCCAAGGCCAGAGTCCAGCCTATTCCAACGGCCCAGTCAGGATACTCGTACACCTTGTTGTACGTCAATGGCTTGTATCTGACCAAGGAGAAGATGAAGCAGCCCTGGAGTGGAAGAGGAGCAATCATTTACATTCAGAACAGAACATTATTTTTAACCAGTCATTCAGCAGCAATCTTAATTTAATGCACATAAAACGACAGATCACGATGACACGAGCGTAACTTTAAGGAAGCAGATGAATTGTTGAAATGAAAAGAGGAAGAAGAAGTTAAACTCTTCCACCGGGTAGACATCTGCAGCTGATGGAACTTTACTGGATGTGTAGAAAGCTCTTACCATGCACAGTAAAGGAGTGATAACAGACCAGCTCCATTTCATCCAAGGATTTGGTCTGTAGCCAATCATGTCCTCAAGCGCATCGTAGAAATTATCAACGCCTGCGAAGACAACAGGATGCTTGTTCAGTCACAGAATCCATCGACACTCACAGGCAATGCAGGATGACTGATGTTGACGCGTTTGCTTGACGTCTTGTTCTTATCGCTGCTTTACTACATTTGCAATTCCTGCTGTTGTTTCTAGACTTTCAGGAAGGGAAGCGTCCATTTACGTCAACAAAGCATAGGTAGGAAAACCTTCCTCTGTGTTTCAATGCATTAACAGTAACCAACATCTCAGGTTTAATAAAAAATAACTGCAAACATTTAGGTAATTGACCTTCTTCTTGGAGTTGCACCAATTAGCCTTCCATGTGAAGAGCTTTGAGGTTTAGTTTAGTGCGATCTATTTTGACCATTTCTTTGACGACACATGCACTAGATGGACACATTTCAAGACATGTAGTAAAAAATCCTAATTACACTGTTCACATGACTTATTCGGTACTCACCATAAACCCAGGCAACAGCTATACATTCAAAGAATGCCACCCACAGAAGGCACACACCGCTAGCTGCATAGTAGTCAAACAGCTGGAAAACATACATGCCACCCTGCAGGAGGACAAGAAGGCAGACGGTAAGGGTTTAAAAATTAAGACACACAAACAGAAAAAAACACATCTCTATTCTTGCAGCTTCGAGTGTACGCAGGAAGTCGCGCGGCGGTGTGTTCGAGTGTCGCGGCGTAAACGTGAGGCGGCCGACTCGTCCGCACGTGAGACGGGTCCACGTGTGTGTGTGTGTGTGTGTGTGTGTGTGTGTGTGTGTGTGTGTGTCCGGTGTTAAAACTGTTAACAATCATGGGAATCCTAAAGTTGAACCAGGCCAACGCAGCCATAAAAAGATGTTGTCATGGGAACAACAGAGGAAGAAAAAGAGAGAGAGGGAGGAGGTGGTGGTGGTGGGGGGGATGGGAAGAGAAGGAGGGAGGGAGGGAAGGAAGGAGGGAAGGAGGGAGGGACGGAGAGCAGAAAACAGGATGACAGTGAAAAAGGTTGTTGTGTGAGAACAGACGGCTGGGAGGTCTGAGAGGAAAACAGACGCTGGATGAAGACAAGAGGATCGTCTTGGAGACAGAAGTTGGACGATCAGACATCAAACACTTTGATTTTAAAGATCCAATTTGCTTTCTTAACTCAATCTATAGATATTCCATCAAAGCAGCTCCTCCTGTCCCAGTAAAACAGCCTCGACGGGCTCGCACAAACTCAAGCAGATAATAACAATAACAAAAATAAAAAAAACTAGATGTCTTGTTATGCTAACTGTATTGTGTAACCCAGCATTTGCACTCAGAGGGGGAAGTTACTGATCGCCATCTGCCATTTCTGGTATTTGGTAAAACATTCTCACAAACTGTGAGACCTTCAGAGCTTAAGTTGTTATTGTGTAACTCAGATCTGCCAGAATGTTGGCTGGTCTCTGCTGCGGGGAATTCGCCAGCAGAAGATGGAAGCTGTGAAATCAGGGTCCATCGGATGCCGTGCAACTGAACCGCATTTTAGAAAACTAGTCGACTTGCGGACTCTCACTGAAAGGTCAAGATTTGAAACTTTGCAGTGGATGAAAAACACTGATGGAGGCGTCGCTTTAAGCAACGGCAGGGCAACGCTGTGACATTAGCACTGTTGGAAAGTGTTTGTCGGTGCAGGAAAGGTGCAGGAAAACTCAAACTTAAATGTCTGTATGATTAAACTGTCAGTAGCTTCATTTACAAGTTAGAAAAAGGGTTGAAAAAGAAAGAATGACGACAGTAAGGGAGAAAAAGCAGAACTAGATTTCTTAAGACGGGAGACGAGACGATGGAAGCGAATGAGAAGACAGAGGAGGGACAAAGTAAGACGTGATGAAAACAGAAATAGACAGAAACAGGAGAGGAAGAGGAGGAGGAGGAAGAAGCACAAAGGTTTGGAAAAGCTATATCAGTTCTACTGTATCTAATAATACCGGAGGAGGGATGGGAAGTTCTCATGACTTGACAGTATAAATAGCCCCCTGTCATCTCTCCGGGGATCGACACTAATAGCTGTCTGAACGCTGTTGTTCCTGCTGTATTGAGCTGCGGGCTGGAACGAGGTCAGCAGCTACAGTATATACATGAGATTATCAATAGGTGACGATGCTGGACGACGGGTTTCTGTGGAGCTGAATTGTTTGTGGAGCTACAACCGTGAGAATTTTCTGATGCTGTCGGCGCTCCCACATGTGCTCTGGCTACGACTACTACTGCTGCCGTGTACGTTTCTGTTGTTTTGTTCGCTTGCGACGGTGCTGTTACCTTGGTAACCATGGTAAGTCCAAGCAGGTAGCTGATGCAGCAGATGATAGCGATGAAGACCTCTCTGCGGTATCCCTTCCTTAGGAAGGACGGATACAGATCCACCAGTGATGTGATCTGCCCTTCCACCTCCACAAACTGTGAGAGAACACACACACACACACACACACACACACACACACACACACACACACACACACAGTGATGTTATCAGAAACCACAGTCGTATTCACATCCACCGACAACCCGAGCTGCTATTTTACACTTTCAGATTTTCAGCATTACATCTTGCGCTTCTGATCCTTTTAGTTTCCGCTCGTAAAGCAGCATCACAGACCCCCCGCGCGGTTAAACACAGACAGATTTCACTGTTGTCACTTCACAGAATTGTGAGGTATTGAAGTGTGACTCGACGTGAAGCGCAGCTTTATTCTGGGAAGGCTGAGCGACTACTACACATGGCTATTTTCAGGATGTGTGCGCTTTTGCTTTCACACGAAGGCCTGTGAGGGTCAGTGGCCATTTTAGCGACTGCAGACGTGCATTCAAACACAGACACCTACAATGTTTAACTATTTATCATCCTTTCTGATTGCACATCTACTTTATGCTAATTAAAGCGCCGTCCGGTGAGCCGTGAAGCCGTTTGAAAGTTGCAAATGTTTCATTTATGCTCGACGGCGACTCACCTGACTGTCGAGGCCAAGCAGCAGCAGCATAATGAAGAAGAGGATTGCCCAGAGTGTAGGAAAAGGCATCATGGTTACAGCCTTAGGGTAGGCAATGAACGCCAGGCCTGGACCTGCAGAGGAGGCGGGGACGGGGGGGTAAGAGCAGACAGAGGAGGTGGGGAGGGGGCAACATTAGTATCATATGATGAGCTCATCTGATCTGCATCCCTGTAGGGGGGAGAAGAAGAAGCCCCAGACAATGGAGACGCAGAGCAAGATGTAAAAACAGGATTAAAGCTCGGCTATAACACTGAAGAGTGTGTGTGTCTTATGTGTGTAACTAGGTGCTATTGAAAACATGTGTAAAGTCTAACTCGCTGGTTTACTTACCTCCTACGACAACACATTATGACACATCACTAACTATGAGCATTTAACACGTGACATGATTTCGTAGCGTTTTACAATAACATGTGTTACAAGGACATCCTAGAATAATGCACTAAAAGAAAACAGAGGAATTACAGCAAACAGAACAATATTAACTGTACATTTCTGAGTATAGTGTAGCTGCATCTCTGTGGAAGTAAGTAAGTTATGAGAGAAATCGTGATGCACTTGTAAAGATCTGTAACTAGCTGTTGCTACCAAAAAAAGACCACCGTGAAACATGACAGCAAATAAACGAAAGGTTTAGCCTGCTTAAGGTGTGTTTGATTCACTTTCAACTGCTGCTGCTGCTGCAAAATAAAAAGGCAAATCAAGCACATCTTAATTTCTTAAATAATTTCGGTACGTCGACACCTACGCCACTTGAGCCATTTTGCATCCCTAACTGACCCTTTCTATGAGGGATGCAAAATGGCCGTTGCAAAACAGCAGCAGATGCAAACTGAGTGGTCAAATAAAAAGCAAAGGCTTTTCTTTTTCTTCTTTTTTATGAGGTCTAATTTGACATCGATGCTACATTGGGAACTGTAAAACAGAAGTCAAGGAACAAGGAAGCAGCCATAACAGCAAAACAGCATTGCAGCTGATAGCAAGATATGTCAATGTGTTCCATTTATGTAGCAAATTATGACAAGGCATCCAACCAAACACCGCGTTGACTCAAAAAAAATAGTACCGACTTCCAGTCCCTGAGAGGGAAAACGCTTTGCAGAGAGTTAAACCTAGTATATTAACTCATGACATCACAGAAAACACTTGACTGTACAAAAACATTTTAAAACTTATTGCACAGTGAAAAAAAAACATCCTGCTCTCTGTATATCAGCCTGTTGTGTCATGCAGATAACATTCGCTCATCTGTCTGGTATATCGGCGTCAAGCAGCCGCGGTTAAAGCAGACATACTTGAGATGTTCCTGAACTTTGATAATCTGCTTCCCTGGCAGGGCTTGATGACCTCGCTGGAGCTGGATAGTCAGATACTCTGCTATCTACTTGACCTGCTCTGCTATTAACACTCAAAACACATGGAGACACGTCTTAAGGCTCCACATCTGGGCTCCATGTTATCTATATGTGGTGTTCTGCAGGAGGACTGGGGTCTTTCTAGCTCCTTCTAGTCTCCTGTGGTGAAGCCCGACACCAGAGAACGATGACTTTGGACCTTACATACATGGAGTTGGCACTACAGAACTGTGTAATGTATTTGTCTCAACCAGCGTGGACAGTTGTTGCGTTTTCTTTAGTCAAACTGGCTGATTTTAGAGCATTAAATGGAGCAAATGGAGCCAAAAACACCTGCCGCTGACAGTATCTGAGGTTTTCTCATGTCTCATTAAAGGCCAAACAAGATGGCGTAACCCTCTGAACCCTAAAACCCACCAGCGGGTTTGAAAGGCATGTTGACTTTCTTACAAAAAAAAAAAAAAAAACACTAAAATTAAAAAGTTTATCACAGAAAGAAGCTAAAAACTGGAAAAAAATCTACAGATTTTTAACTTTCCAACAGTCTGTTCAATGCTCATCTTTGATTTATAGTTTTATCGGGAAAAATATCCAAATTTAAGCCTAAATTTTTTAGATTTCATCAAAATCGCTTCAAATGTTTCATTTACAAAATTTGCCAAAAAAATGTTTTGCACGAAGTAGATTCTGTAAAAATGAAAAAAAAAACAGTCACATGAAAACAAATCTTGGGACTTTTTAGTTTTTGTTTAATTTAGCAAATTGAATCATTCAAAGATAAAACCTTTTCTTTTTTTACTGATTTATGGCGTCGTAACTTTGCTTTACTGCACAAAAGACATTGTAAAGTTTTCTCTAATCTCAGTCGTTGTGGTGCTCTATCCATACAGCTCCAGGAAGAAAAAGAGCTCACAATGGAAAAAATAAGTGCTTGGGGTTCAGAGGGTTAAATCGTAAACATGTAAAGTGAAGCATGTCGATTATAGCCAAGAAACAAGGACTTTAATAGAACGAGTCATCAATCATCCTTTGCCATCCAGTATCTGATTAGGGACTTGGAAAAACAAGCATAAATTAAAACCTTGTGCGATTCTGTCCGAAAACCCGGCGTGACTTAATAAAATTGGGCTAACATTGCTTGCAAGAGCAAAGTCACGCTGTCCACCAATATACTGTCGGAGAAATACTCCCATGGAAAAGATGTTGGCACTTGTGGTTGCAAGAATATGTAATTTTTTTCCAAAAGACCCTGTGGCTATGAAACCAAATGCTTAAAATCTGGTCTAATTTCTCTTTGGGTTTTCCTGTGATTTTTTTTTTCTATCTGGATGTGGACCCTGTGAACAGACAGGACAAAACAGATACAGTTGCTTGTTCTAGTTGTTAGAGTGAGACAATAGGAACAAGCTAATGACCACATATGCCAAAAAAAAAATAAAAAAAGTGTCACTCAGATCGACAGGAACCACAACCGATGATGACGTCAGTTTGTCGGGATTCAAAATAAAAAGATCTCACTGGCACAAGATGCACTGAGCATGAATCGCACCGCTAACCTCTTCCCAGAGCGCTAACAAATGTTGTTTCCTCACATTCTGCCTTTTGTCAAGGAGTGTTTGATTGCGGAAGCTTCCATATTCCGATGCCGTCATTTGTCATTAAATCAGGGAATCCACTCAATTCCAAATTATTACAACTCAGTTCGAAAAAAAATTGAACGTTTGGGGCTAATTCTTGTTTGTTTTTGGGTTTCGTTGCTGTTTTTTTATTATTATTTTTTCCTTCAAAGTAGTTTAATTTGTTAACCAGGAAGCAGCGCCCACCATCACTGCCGCCTTTACAGAACCCTCGTACCTGACTCTGCCACATCAGCAATGTCCACCCCTTGCTCTTGTGCCATGAAGCCCAGGACGGAAAATATTGCGAAGCCAGACACAAAACTGGTACCACTGTTGAGGGCTCCCAGCAGCAAACAGTCCCTATGTCACACATATGTCATGAGGAGGATTTGTTAATGAACACACAAGGATCCCGTCACCCCCCTCCCCAGCTGTCTCCCCCCCGCCTCCCCCGTCTACCGCTAAGTCCCCCCTCCCTCACTGAAAACTGACGCCTCACCTGTAGCAGTTGTATTTGTACTTGTTGTAGCTCCCCAAGGACGTCATGGCGCCCAGACAGATGGCGTAGGAGAAGAAGATCTGCGTGCCGGCGTCAATCCACACCTGTTAAAGAGTAGTGGGGGAGTCGGGGGGGAGGGAGTGGGGACAGAAAGGCTGAGGCCTGCTGATGAGGGGGTCGCATGCACAGTGATGCTAGAGCTACCAGTTAGGAAAATAAAAGCCTCCCCTCTTTTACTTCCTGTTTTCATTCACAATAGAGCTAACATGTGCAACAGTGAATATGCATCTAGTTTAGCAGCAAATATAAGATCTACTGTCGTATTAGCAGAGCAAGGGGGAAGCACAGAGGTCAGATGAACTAGTCCTGCACATGTGAAGCATTTCTATTACTTTGGGGGACTTCCTGTTATGCACCAAGTGAGATCCCTCGTATCAACTCGGCAATAAAACCCGTCTGATTCCAAAAGAGTGGAGCTCAGGTTTTCTTGCACCTACCTCTGGGTCCTTCAGGCGAGCGAGGTCGGGATACAGGTAGAACTTGATGCCCTCGGAAGCACCCGGCAGCGTCACGCCACGAATCAACAGCACGATGAGCATGACGAATGGGAACGTGGCTGTGATGTAGACCACCTGAGGTAAGGGGAGGAGGGGAAAGAAAAAGAAAAAAGAAGCAAGGTCAAATATGTTGGGAACAAACTCCGAATCCTCCCGTTAAAGCTGGTTTCTCCAAAAGCGGTCACGTTCGTTTGTTATTTGGCCCGCCGGTCGATATCTTTGGTGTAATCACAGCAAATATCGCTTGACGAATGCGCGAATCCCGCAAGTTATTTTTGGATGAGGACAACAAGAGACCACAGGCTGTCCCTTAAATCAATAGCAGCGTATCAGTATCTGTTATGTGGAGAGCGGTGACCACACTTGGCCTTGTTGGAGTGACTTTATTACCAGAGTTACAACTTGGAGCGACCAGAAAGCATAAATCAGGTCCGAGCGATCGATAAAGTGTGTGTTGAGGCTATAAAAAGCGGAGTCTGGGATTGATCGCGGGTCAAGTTGTTGCTGTAGCAGCAATTTAATGTGGTCTGAAATGTTCCCTGTATGATTTTTTATTTTTTAAACCAGTCTATCCTGCAGCGCTTGATGAAAAGGTTAGAGAATGCAGAAAATCCCCTTCATTAAATAGACCAGTACTGATACAAAACTGTAATCCTCTAAGTCAAAACCATTTATTGAAGTGCATCTTGCAAATAAATCTGGAAAGAACAAAAAAAAATGCAGAAAATACCTCCTTTTTTTATGCATATGTTCAAAAATAAGTCAAACGTCTGCAGCCTCGTGTCCTTCTAGCAACAAAATCTAATCATGTTTAGCCACCTCTATGTTTTAAATATTTATTTCTGGAAAAAATCCTCCATTTTCTTGCCCATTAGTCCACTTTTTCCCCCCAACACACTGCTATTTGTAAACTCCATTTAGCCGTTGACTTCTGACAGGAGGTTTAATAAACCTTCTCTGCAGAAAATGTATGTTTTTGTTGATGCTGCACGGCGCAGAGGGGAAACAACAACCGCTAAACGGATCCAGATGTTGAGGACAGTACTTTCCTCCCGAGAGTTACTGCCACAGTTTGCACGAGCGGAGCTCAGTTCTGCAAACACACCGAGTCTTGTGTAAATAATTATATCGAAACTTTTGAAAACACATTAACGCGAATGCGGCTAAGCGCGTTTGTTTTTCATTTATTTTGACAACTTATTATTGCATTTCTGGATTCTAGGTCAGAAAAAAAAAAGAGAAGAAGAAGAAGAAGCAGCAGGGATTCATGTGTCACCAGCTCATCCAGGCCTGCAGTAAAAAAAACAAAAAAAGGTCGGCGCATAACTTATGTTGTTGTATTTGGTCAGGCCGCAGAAGAAATCATATGAGCATCAGGCTGTCATGGGTTTCCCTTCTGATTATGATACAGCAATGATGAAAGTCGGTTCTTGTTTTTTTTTTTTTCCCAAGTTTAGCAAGATGAGGAGGAACAAAGCACAACCAGTAAAGCAGCAATGAAGGATTTACCTTTCCAGTGGATTTGACCCCCTTCCAGATGCAAAAGAAGCAGATGACCCAGACGAGCAGTAAACACAGGGCCAGGTCCCATTTAACAGGACCGATATCCTCAATACCGCTGGTGATACCCAGCACATTATGTCTGCAACGCAAAGAGAGAAAAACACCTCTGTTAGTCTGTGGGCATCTCTTCACAGTGACACCATTCAAACGAGCAGGGCATCCATCGTAGCTGAACTGTTAGCATGACGCTCAGCAGGGGAGCTGCACACGGTTATGCAAGTGAACAGGTATGTAGTAGGTAGCAGGTGTGTGTGTGTGTGTGGTCTTATGTAACTCACTCCCAGAACTCGGTGACGGGGGAGGTGAAGTTGGAGGCGTTGGCAGCCAGCCAAAGGCTTTTGTTCTTGCGGTAGGTGTCCTCGATGCAGCGATCGGTGTTCCAGGGCTGCTTGCACTTGGCCCAGGGCAACTCTGGCTGAAAACACTAGAATGCAAAAACAAAAGAGAGAGAGAGGGGAAAAAAAAAAGCATTAAGTTGTAGTACAACTTAGCTGCGCTCGTTTCTGATTCACTGGAGGGCGTCCAACACTTTAATCACTATTTGATCGCATCAATGCATCCATTACTGCATCTATTATTAACTCTTCCTGCAAGTTTAAAGGTAGCTTTAGCTTTATAACCAACTTCTGCTTACATTCAGTCTTTTTTTTCTCCAACACTCCAGTTAGCTAGGACTCAAGTGGAAGTATATTACCCCCAAACCCACCTGGAACAGGTAGTAGAGGCCCCAAGCCAGGATGACGATGTAGTAGATATTCAGCAGGGACACGATCACAATGGAGGCGTAACCAATACCTGAAAGAGGAGGGAGGTCAAGGTGATGACACGACAAGACGTCAGAGCGCCGCAGCGACATGGCAGCGAGCCACCAAGGTCACGCCGCCGTCAGCCTTTTCGGTGACGGTATCAGTTTTACATAATAAACATTTTCAAGGTCTTCAACTTGCGGCATCACACAAGATAAAAGAGGTTTGTTCCACTGTGGCAGATTAATGACTGTTCTTTTTGTTTCCTCCCAAAAGGCTCAAAGTTTTTATCCCTTTAGTGGAAGGGTTTTGCTGTTTTTTTTGTGTTTTTTTTGGCCTGAACCCAGGATGCAACAGTTCTGGATGAAACAAGGGTCACATTTAATGAAATGAAACCTTGTCTGCCAACTTATTGTGCCAGTAAACACAGCTGAGAAATGAACCGATGTAGGTGTTTGTCCGTGCTGCGGTCGTAGGATTCTTGTCTTTAATACTTCCAGAGTCAACTTCAGTCAAACCCACAAAATTTAATCTAAAATTCTTGTAAAGATCCAAAAACATTTTCACAAAATGCATGAATAAATATAGATTTAGGAGGTTAAATAGCAGAAAAAAACTATTTTTAACAGGACTACAAGGAGATTAAATTGTTGAACTGAATCTTTCAACTTCTGACTCCCCAGAATCCTCTGGTGGGTTTAAAAGACAGGTTACCTTTAAAAAAAATTGTCCAAATTACAGTATTCTACATGGCCTAAAGCACAAATAAATTACTCTAAACCAGCGTACAGAGGAGCGAGTTGTGGAAGGATGCATTCAGCACGGTGAAACATCTTTCCAGAGCTGATGTGCAGCTAAGTGTAAAAACAAAATGTCCAGTTTTTAAATTGAAATTAAAACTTTAAACTGAAAATGTTTGTGCATGTTGATTCCAGGTCTTTTCCAATTTTGTAAAATAGAATTAAAAGAAATTCAACTTTGGTATTTTCTTCTTTTTCAATGATTTTGACACCAAAACTTGCACAGAAAGCCATTTTTGAGTTCTCTCTGCTTGTAATCATGGCTGTGCTGTTTCCATATTAATACGGTAAGAGATAATTACTTTCTACAGTCTGCATCCTGACTCCACATGTCTATGTTTGACTGTCAGGTGCTGCTACCCTGATTTGGATGCTTTCTCTTTAGACATCCTGCCGTTTACAGTATATAAACCTGCTACAGCTGAATCCAGGAACGTATCAGAGAGCAAACTGCAAATGCTGCCGTACAGGAGCTCAAGCCATCGTGTTTTAGTTCGGTTTATCGTTCCCCTGCATTTAAATTTTATCCGACATGTTCAGTTATCAGCTGGCTTTTATTGCGTCAGCGCTGGCCTCCACGCAGAGCTGGCACACACAGGATCAAGGCTATCTGTGTGTGTGTGTGTGTGTTCTTATGCACCTACTACACAGTGATATAAAGGCAAGAAAATCCCCTCCAAATACCGGGTGTAGGAATCAGGATTTGGACGGAGATTTGGACGTGCATTAGGCTTTAGGCTGGAGGTCACCGGTGGTCCTCGTAAGTATATCAGAAGGAGCTCTGTACGCGCACAGCCGACGACGGAGGCCACTCATCCAAATTAATGTCTCTTAACGTCACCGGCCATCTGTGTGTGTGTCGCCAACGGTCAGCGTGAATCCGACACAAAGTTCTTGAGCCTCGTTCGCCATCTGTGTGTCTTTTGTGTGTGTGTGTGTGTGTGTGTCAGTGTGTACGTGAACGTGTGAACCGTTTCGCCATCGCATCATGTCCTTTTAATCACTCGGCTAATTAGAAGCTGCCAAGCATTTACATCCACAAACACACACACACACGGAGCAACACACTCTTCCTCGGATCACATGGTACAGTGCTGATCAAACAAACAGATGAATCCTCCTCCATGATGTCATTTCTCGCGCTCTTTTTGCTGACCTCGGCCGACCTCGCTCGCGTTTGTTTACATTTGTTATTAATCTGTTGGAGAAATCTATACACATGTTTTTCACTTTTGCACGAGGCGATTCCCAGAAGAAAAATCAGCTTGGAAAGTAAAAAAGAAAAAAGCCTTTTCACAGCAGACACTTTGGCTCGTCACTGCAGGAGAAGCACCGGTGGAATTAATAACGTTAATGATGGCTCAGTTCCATTAAGTCTCCCGGCAAGCCGGGACATCCAATAAATGGAATACAGCCATGATTAATGCCCCTGTGCTCTCCCTGTTATGACATGTTAAAATGTCTGCTGTGACTCTGTGGAGGATTGAGCGGTCTGTAATATTATTGTCGGGGGTTATGTAACTACTAGTGGCCTTTTTAACCCTGTGACTCCCAAACTCTGGTGGCGGGTTTTTAAAAAGAAATCATCGAAATTACACAATTTATGTAACTGTAAAAACAGAAAGAACTTTTTACATTTTAACAGTCTTTAAACTTCTTATTTGTGACGTGACATTCTGCAGGAAAACTCAACCAAAAATGAGCTTAAAATTGTGACGTTTCCTCAAATTCACATTATTCTACACGTTTAAAAATAAAAAATTAAATAAAAAATCACTAAAAACAGATAACCAGATTCTGCAAAAAAAAAAAAATTAACAATAACCAGAGGAACCACTAAGCCAATAGTGACTCAGCTGTGATTAACAGCTAAATAGCAAAAATTCAAGGACTTTTCAGCTGAGCTAGGATGAACTGCAGGCTGTGTATACACGGCACACGCAGAAGAAGCGAATTCTAAGTGTGGAAACTAATGAAAAATGCAAGCAGTAAAATATCTATAGCATAAACTCTTTTCCAGTTTTAGTAACAACATGTGGAAAACTGTTGATTCCAGTTTTTGTAAAATAAACAACTAAAGAAATTGCTGATTTGTGGCCTTATAACTGTGCCATAATGCACAGAACATGTTTTTGAGATCTGTCTACTTCTAGTCATGTCTGTGCTGTTTCCATAGAGGTGCAGGACTTGATATCGCAGTGAAAAATGAGCCCAGAGTGAGTAAAAAAAAATGTGACCGAAGCACCAACAAGCTGCATGGGGTTTAGAGGGTTACACTGAAGTATTTGTCAAAGCACAATTAAGCACTGCATCTTCTACAGCTGTTCATCTCTCCCCGTAGCAGCTCGTCCACATTTAACATTTCTCTCCCTGTTCGTCACCGACAATATTAAAAGTCACCAGGAAAGCTGTTTTGTGAAGAAAAGGGAAAAAAAAAGTGATCTTGCGAGATTTCAGCCGTTGCCTAGCGATTAAATTGCGATCCACCAAGTGTGTGTGTGTGTGTTTTCTCCGTATTTACTCAGTCATTCAATATGTGTTCATTCATGGGTGCCAAAACTAACAAATCCGCGTTTGTTGCTGGAAACGGCTCTTATTCGCGGGCCGGGTTCTTTTACGGGATTCGACAACCTTTAGGTCTGAGTTGCCATTTTGTTTCCGTCCTCGTTAATCAGCCCGACATTGTGTTGTGCCGTTTGGCTAAACCAATCAGTATTGACCGACTTATCCGTTCTGTCCTCGTCAACACGGTAACACGTTGTGATTTATCCGTTAAAAACTGCTCCGATCTCCTCAAACTTCTTGCTGTTTTCCTCCTTTGAAATGGATTCTGGCTCTAACGCAGGAAACAAAAAAAGAAGAAGAAGAAGAAGACATCCCTGTTTCTTAATTCCACCTACACAGCTCTGATTGGCTCGGCTGGTTTCAATGGGGCGCAACATGAAATCATTTTCAATCCCTGAAAAATTGGAGCTGTGGGCAGCGATTCAGATGTCTGGAATCAGGCTAATCACACGTCTCTCCCTCTTATCTCTCTCCTCATTGATGTTGGGATCCATAACGCCGCATTAGCATAACAGAACTACACAGTTATGCTTCCAAAACTAGTGGCGTAGACGACATATGCCACCTTTCTTCTCGTCCTTTCTTTTATTTTGTCTCACTCGTTTCCCCTCTTTTTTTCCCCCATCCATCCTCTTTTCTACTACGACCTTTATTTCTCTCTCTCCCTTTTCCACCACCCCGCCTTTATCAATCCATCTGTCCTCTCCTCAGATCTCGCTGCTCTGCTTCTTTTCGTTTCTCTATCTCCCTCCCTCTCTCTCTCTCTCTCGCCGTTTTCTCTGATGTGTTGCTGCGCTGTTGCCGTAGCAACGTGTGATTCGGGACACTCTGTACACCGTCTCCGATGTGTGTGTGTGTGTGTGCGTGTGTGCGTTTGTGTACATGTGTGTGCGAGACGGCGAGAGGATAATGTGTCTGAAAGGAATAAAGACGGCCGGCGTGTGCGCGAAAGTCAGAGTAGCGGCACGAGTAAATAATTAAATGGAGAAACAAAAACAAGCCGTCGCGATTTCTCAGATTCGCAGAAGTAAATTTATTCAGAGGTTTTTGTGAGTGACTGCTGGAGGATGAATATTAAAAAGATACCTGTTTAGTGATGAACGCATTCATGCTATTGGTGGCGAACAGGAGGAGAGAGGGAGGTGAGAAGAACTGGGAAGAGAAGTGGGGAAGCTCAGGAGAGGAGGAAGAAGAAGGAAATATGATGAAAGAAGAGCCCTAAAGGGGGGAAAGAGGAGACTGAAAGAAAAAAAAAAATACTGATGGGTAAACAACTAAAGGTGAACGCGTTCTCTTGGAAGAAGCGAGGTTTTCACAGGCGAGAAGGTGAGAGCTGGAGAAGGTTAAAGCAGAATAGAGGCCTCAGTGTGTTGGTGTACCAGTGCAGGCCCGGTTGCCTGGTAACGGCTGCAGGGTAAAGTCTCAGCCGTCTGATTGGAGGAGAGGCTGGTGTGACTCAGCCTTATGGTGCACAGCCATTCCTCTGTGAAAAACAACAGAGGTCTGGAAAAATTCAAAACCCGTCGTCAGAGCGGCTGCAGACGCTGCGCCCGTGTGTTTATCGGCTCCGGCGCCTGAGAGATATACGCCGAGGGCGTGGCGGTGGGCGGGGCTACAGTCAGAGGTAATGGTGGACACGACCCCCAACGGATGCTATTATTTGTACTTTAATGCTAATCATGCGACAGAACAAGGCTTTAGGTGAAATAAGTCAAGGTACTGCTTCCACTGGCTGGCGTGGACCAAACCTTCTACAAGGAAGTGTTTCAAAAACATTGAAAGCTTCATATTGTAATCTTATTTTTTTACATTGACATTACAGTATGACCACATATCCAGTCATACATCTGGTCACCTGCTGAATCTAAGTGCAGCAGTCGCTCTCTTTTAGCTCCGTTTTTGGTCTCCACCATCTCCACCTTTTATTTATTGTTTTTTTACAGATTGTATTCGTTATGTCACACTGATTAATTTGGTATTGTTTTATGTCCTGTATTTATTGCTCTGTGTTTGTTCTCTTTTTCTGCTCCTGCCCTGGAACAACAGATGCAAATTAGCCGCTAGCTAACTCTGGTACTACTACTTTTAATTGTGCACTGTCCCTGTAAAAATAAACAAGATAAACAAAACCAAAGTCTTAAATGCCCTACAATATATACATTTACCAGCTAGTTACCAGCTGTTTCCATCTGCTGTTTGGTGCTTAAATAGCTCGGGTACGCTTGGTTTTTAGATCTTTCTGAATGAAAACAGCTGCATCCTGCAACTAAAGGCAATGCTATTGGAGAGGTAAGAATGAACCAAATTTTTAGAAATGCAGTCTGGACAGTTTAACAGTAATTTTTAAATGGTTTTATTTCTCAATTAATGTAGTTTTCGAAGCACAGTGGTAAGTGAGGGGTTTCCACAGCCACAATGGGACAAAACACCCGTTGACACTGCTGCTCTGGGTTCACCACCATCCTAACCATTTCTTTTGTTTTCCATTTTAGGATCGATACTGAGCACGCTTGAGGGTCCGATTAAGCAGGTACATACCAGTAAAGATGGGGCAGAGCTTCTCCCAGCAGGTGATGCCACCCTCGGAGGTGAACTGACCCAGGGCGACCTCCAGGAAGAAGACTGGCAGACCTCCGCCAAACAGGAAAATGAAGTAGGGGATGAGAAACGCACCTGGACGGGAGACAGGAGATAAAACACACGCATAATAAGATCACCCACATCAGTTTTAAGCAACAAGAGGAATCATATCCCATGAACTGATAGCCTTACCTCCACCATTCTTATAGCAGAGGTACGGGAAACGCCAGACGTTCCCTAAACCAACGAAGCCGCCAGCCACAGACAGAACAAAGTCCAGCTTGCTGGCCCACTTCTCCCGCTGGGGGTGTTTGCCCTCCGCCTCATCTTCAGGCCGGGTGCCAGGGCTCTTACCAGGAGATGGCTTCAGGGTGTCCTTATGGAAGTCCTTCAGACACTGGAGTTTCTCTTTTTGAGCCATTCTGCAGAAACAAGACAGAGAAAAGATCAAACACCGGTTGGAAAAAAAATTCAGCAGCCTTTTTGTGTTTCTGCCTTCTCGAACCTCTCAAAAGTGTGTTTCATTTGATGTTGGCTCTCGTGGGTGTCTGACCCACACCGTGGAGAATCATGACACAGTCGACTACTACTTTAGATTTCTCCCGTGGAAAGAGGAAAGTCCTTCTGTGCTCACCAAAGATCTGCGTTTGAGGCATGTTTCTGCAAGAGTGAATCCAAACTAAGTCATAACCCAGTCCTGGTCTGGTGGAAACATGAAGCCCCGAGAATGTTTTTTTCAGTGTAATGAATAATTCTACTTATTTTATATACTGTACAAGAATATATTTCATATATTCTGGACAGTTTTGCTCAGTGAGGAGGTGCAGACGTGAGAAGTTCTAACAATAAACTAACCATATCAACACAAATTATTTCTCAAAGCAGAGTCATTTTCGCACATATCCGGAGGGAACATTTACCTTGAGAGAGCTGGAAATCTATGCTGGCAAGCTACCTGATGAAGTGACTTTTGTCTGTGCCCCTGACTTAAGTGTGATTACTTTCTGCCTCACTCAATAAGGAGGTGAAGGCGGCCATGAAAGTCAACTTCAGGATAGATGTAGGTTCAGACTGAGCTGCCAGCTATAATAAAAAAAAAGGACACAAACCTGCAACCTCAAGACACAAATATTGCCCAGAAACAAAAACGTATATAATAATCGTTGGCCATTAACCTGATGTGGCAGCAGGATAAATGTAAATTGAAACAGCATCCTCTGTGACTCAGATAGCTTCCATTAACAACATCTTGTTTGACTCCACCACCTTAGGCTGTCCCTGACAAACCGACCTGTACTTGAATCTCACCAGTTTGCCTCGATGATAAATTTACAAAGACGAGGTTTGAGTGGCAGCACGCAGATAGAAATTAGGCTTCCCTCAATCACGCTCACCGCCTGTGGAAACTCTCACAGTGTTATTATCGAACCACTAAGCACATTCTTGGCTTCCCTAATTAGACACTTATCACAAAACCAAATAATGTGCTATACAACTAACTCTACATGTATGCACACTATGTACAAGTTTTACTTTATTATGATTGAACATTATTGACTTAGGGGTCTACCAGAAGCCTCGGGGCCAAAAGTGAAAGTACGACTGAACTTGCAAAGCCAGAGACAGCAGCTCGTCTACAGTTTGAGATTTAATTATACGGTAATGTTCGTACAATCAGCTCGTAAACTCACACGGTTGCTGTGCAGCTCTTTCATAAAGCTGAGGTCCTGTCAAACAGGAGACTACTTGTCACAAGTCTGTTTTACTTTGACGTAAACATGATGCCATTTCCTTCTAGGGTGTTAAAATCTTAGCTGACTCTGGAGTTGACAAACTCCTCGTTTCTGTTTTTGTGGTTATTTGCAGTTCTGAGCGTCTTTGCACCCCTGTAGGAGAAGGACTTTTCTGTTTTTGCCCCTGGGTGTGGCAAGTAACAACAGTGATAGTCAGTGGCAGTTGAAATCTGTCAACAGATTAGGGTTACACTCCACTTTGGATGTGATTCAAAGCTAGAGTTGTTAATTTCAGAGCCTAAAAAAAAATCTCCCATTACATTAAGGAGTAAGCCCCATGAGAAGCCTTTCTGATGCAAGTTAACTCTAGGTTTGCACCTTTACGTGAACTGCAAGCAGTGTGGGTTAAAAAAACGAAGCCGATAAGCCAACAGCTGCAGTTCCTCAAATGGCCACTTGAGGTTGACTCCAAAAGCAAGTCAATTCTTATAGAAGAATGCCCAACTTTGCAGCAGAAATAAATATGTTTACAGCCTGCTTTAAAAAAGCTTTTGGTCTCTATAGTTAACTTTCCTGTTCATGACAACTGTACAGGAGGCAGATTTTCATATAAGTCACCCGTTTAAACTGCAGTAACGCTTACATTTCTGCATAATTTTGATTTAATTTAAACTCAGGGTGGCTGCTTTGAGTGACAGGTTGGTAACATCACATACCTGCCGATCATCTGTTTTGTAACTATTAAAATAGTTGCGAATTACGAGGAAGATCCGTTCAGTTTCTATCCATCTTTATAAAAAAGTCTAGTAAAAGCTGGTCCAACTCCAAATGACTGCTCCGGTTGTTTCAGTTCAAACAAAATACACGACAAAGCCATCTACTTTCACAAAATGCTCTCAGAGGTGGAGAAAAAAATTTGTCAAAACACCGATTTAATGGTTTACAATGAGGCTGTAGGGTCTTGTATGATGTTTACGGACATTTTAACAGAGAGATGAGCCCTATAAACTAAACTCTTCTTCCCTCCTCTGCCCTTTCTCTCTAAAACTATTTAATATAGCTCACATCCAGGCATTAAAGCGATCAGGGTCACAATGTACCACAACCATAGCTGTAAATTTCCACCCGACAATGACCATGAGAGAGGGAGAGAGAGAGGGAGAGTCATGGGGAGAGACAGACATACTTAGTAGTCAGCAGATGTCTGTCACTGTGGAAAATGTCATGTCTTTATCTCTTTCCATCTGCCAGGCTGCTGTGCCCTCAGCGACTCTCCCTTTGTCTCTCCCATTCATTCACTCTCAATTTGACTTTCAGCAAGATATTTACAGAGGGCAAGATCGAGGACAATACCACGTTTCAGATAAATCCCCTGTGGCCTGTTCTGTCGCTGCCTGCAGGCGCACGCTTTTGTTTTTCCATCCATTGTTTCAAAAAATGTTGTCTTATTCTGAAAGCGCTATTTTTATCCGACCATTCAAATCAACTTTTCTTGCTGCCGTTTGTTGTCGTTGCGCAGACAGAACCAACATTAGCTTATTTTTCCGCCAGTTCTTTCCATAACTGGGCGTGAGGATGCGCCTATCTGCAGTTTATCTCGTAATGCGTGTCAGGTTCCTTCACATAAGTTAATGATTTCACAGTGACATCCTCGCACGCATATCTGTCTTCATGACTAACTTCCTGCAGACAGTTAATTAAAAAATATTAAGAGGAAACTGAAAGCATTTGCTTGGTGTGTACGCCGTACATACCAGTGTGTGCGCTCAAGTACTTCCTGCTCGGAGAGACAGTGGACTCCATTATGTCTGTGACAAACTCTTAACGGCAGCAGACAGCGATATTACTTCCAGTATCTAAGTGAATCTACACATTGAATTAAGAAATCCAGCTGCAGTGTATCAGGCATAAGAGGAAACCCTGTAACACTGCAACGTGCTCGGATATTTAATTTTATGAGGCCCAAACATTTGAATGAGTCTGCTATGATAAAAGGCCCGAGCATATGTTCATATGAGCATGAATTTAGGGAACATGTATTAATGCATCACTTAATTTATGGAGGTAGCGGCATTTCTAAGCTTTGGGTGATGCTACTACTAATGCTAAAAGGGCGATCACCAGTATAAAGTAGGGTGTCATCAGCAAACAAATGTTAAAACATTAAAGTCAGATGATGAAACATAATGAGATATGCTGCAGCTGATCAATAAAAAAGATCCACAATCAATGCTGATGTACATTAAAGTGAATTATTAAAGAGAGAACGTGCATCATTTAATATAACATTTGTTGTTTCTGCGTCCTCCTTCAACCTTTATCAAAGCTTTTCTGACTGTACTCTCCAGTAGCGCGTCACAGGATTGAAATCTTGTACTGCAGCTGTGCTACATTCACTCAGTAAACACCTACGATGCTCTGCTGACTGCTGGAGGGCAAGCACATGATGCATGTATACCTGCTATGTACATTTTACTGCCGCGCTGCTACTGCTAGTGCTGCAATCTCGTTTGCATTGTTGGAGAAATAGTCGCCGCAGGCCTCAAGTTTGAGAAAGCTGCAGTCTTTGTAAGGCCAACAATGTCAAGACATAGCATGTGTCTGTTACTGAGCCTTGTGCTGAGGGATCTTGTGCCATGGGGTTGTGGCACAAGATCAGTGCTGACTAACTCGGTGCATAAACACATGACCAACGAGGCGGGCAGCTATGGTCATGAGCTCGGGGCAATGACCAAAATAACATTACCAATGCAAGACGATATACTTCGGAGAACCATGAAATTAGTTTCCTTTGCAAGGTGGTGGGGCTTACCTCTAGAGATTGGGTGTTTACCTCATGCAATCACAGGAGAACTGATGCTCCATTGAGTTGAATGGAATTGGGATTGCTTCCCAGTGGAGGCGCATTAAAACGGGCAAACCAAGAACACGCTAAAAAAGGACTGTATACGTCGTCTGCCCTGGGAACGCTTCAAGATCCTCCAGGAAGAGATGTGGGTGAGAGGGATAGGAGCTACCTTGTGTAGTCTGCTTCCATTGCAAACCTGGACCCAGATAAGTGGTGGAAAATTGATGTAACCGAGTGGCGAGCACGAACAGCCGCAGCTGCCAAAGCTGGTCCGCCCAAGAAAAGAGCTCCACCTCAAGAAGCTTGCGCCGAATCCCCAGAAAAGAAGATTTCAAGACTTGTCGTCACGAGCAGCTCTCACGTGAAGTGTTGCGTTTACTCATCGAAGGTGTGAAGGCAATCAAGAGTTACCGCCATAAAGGCTCCGCAGTGATGTATCAGCAGCAAATATCGTTGGCTGTAATAAAACGACCTCCGGAGAGCGAGCCCCGGTCGTGGGAACCACAGTGAATTGTGGGACGATTCAAAGCTCAGGCCAGAAGCTTGGTGTGAAACAGAGACTCGTTGTCTGGCGCTCCATGTTTGTGAGGGTGTGTGATCACTGGACCCAGACTCTGGACTGGAAGGCAGTGACTTCAGAACCCAGCCAGCACCAAACACACACACTTACTTCACTCCCTAACCGCTTACATAACACACTCTCCTATTTTAAGACCACGTACATTTCCACTGGGCTGACCGCCTATTAAATCCACTCATCTCATCCCCCCCCCACCTCTCTTCCTCTGCTCCACATTTCTTTCACTTCTCCTCCGCCGCCCCAAATCTTCTGCTCCTTCTC